AACTGAACGTGGCTCTCACGTGACCACTGAATCTCCTCTTCTCCAACAAACTCATGCCCAGTTATTTCAACTTATCCTCTTGGGAAGGGATTCCTGGGCCCTTCACCATCCTGGTAGCTCTCCTCCAGTCACTTTTCAATTCATCTGTGTCTTGCCTAAACTTTGATGCCCAGAACGGTGTTCCAGATGGGGTCTGATGGGCTAGCGTATGGAGGGAAGTTCCCTTCTTTTTTATTGGATTCTGCTTCTCTTAATGCAGCTCAAGATCACATCCGCTTTTGTTGGCTACCTCTTCACATCACTGACTCATGGTGATCTTGTGGCCCACTGTATCCCCCACCCAACTCCGACCTTTTTCAGATAAACTGCTGGCTAACCATTCTTTTCTCATCTTGTACTTTTGGAGTCAATTGTTTTGGACCCAAGTATAAATCTTTATATTTATGACTGCTGAAATTCATCTTATTAAACAGAGAACAATGTTCTAGCTTGTCTAGCCTAAGGCAGCTACGTGGCATGGTGGATACAGAACTATACCTGGAGTCAGGAAGACTGGAGTTCAAATCTAGTCTTCCATTTACTAGTCATGTGATTAAGTTACTTAAATTTAGTTTATTGAATAGTAATTCATTGTGAATAATACATTTTGTGAACCGGACTTGGTTCTGAAAACAAGGCCACTGTGAAAACTGATATATTCATTTATGTAATGCTGTTAATATCCAAATTAATCTGTTAGCAGCCACTAGAAATGTTGTTATCAGTCAGCGTAAGTTTCCTCTTCTATAAAAAATGGGGGAAATGATAATGCCCACCTCCCAAGGTTGTTGTGAAGATGAAATGAGATAATTTTTGCAAAGTGTTTTGAAAACTTTAAAGCATTATACAAATGCTAGCTTTAATTAGTGTGATCATTATTAAAATTATATTTCATCTTAATTCTGTCATCTAGCATGTTAACTCTCCCTCCAAAGGTGCTAGGCCTTGGAGGATGTAGGTAGCAAGGCATCTGCCCTATCTGAATTGACATTCAAGATAAATGAATGGGAATGTGTGATTATTAGTTTAAGAAGGAAAGACTAGAAAGATGGATAGGACTTGGGTGTGTGAGTCAGACAAAGATGAAAAAGTTATTAGTAGCATTTCAAGCTGGAATAGCCATCAAAACTATCTAGTGCAACCTTCTTATTTTACAAAGGAGATAACCTAGCTCTGGAGGGCTTAGATGAGTTGGCCATGGCCCCCTGACTCCTATTTAGGAATCCAATGAGGCCAGTGTTCTTTCCATTATGCAACACATAAGTTTGCCAAGAAGCCCATACAAGTCCACTTACCATGCATCCTGGTACGAAAGAAGGAGACCTCTAGTTAGAGAAGGGGGCAATCTCTTTTGAAGTCACTCATTCTGCTCTTGAGCAATATCATTCCTAGGAAGTTTTCCCTAACATTTTGCCTAGATTTATCTCTTGTAGATTCTTCTTTCATGAGCTCCCAAATAGACAGTGACTGTTGGAATGCTAGCTAGTAATCCAACTTATCAGCTACTTCTCTTGTCTTACTATTAACTACTATGGTCTTGTTAAATGTAAGCTACTCAAGGTCAGGGATAGTTTTGTAATTGCTTTTGTCCTTGTGACCCTGGGGGCTACTTCAGTGTCTAGTGTATAGTAAATGCTTGGTGGATTGGGTGTTCTGCCTCCTGGTCCCATAAACATGGTAGTTATATTAAGTAGTACCATCTTAAGAATCCTAGAAATGGGTAGGGTCATGGGGTCATAGATTTGAAGACAGGATACCATGACCATGGGTCTAAGACTAGTCATTTGGTCCAACCCTTTCATTTTCACAGATGAAGAAACTGAGGCCAGGAGAAGAGAAATGACAAAGAGAAGCTGATATGGAAAGTGAAGAAGGTAGGATTTGAACCCAGGTCCTTGGACTTAAAATCAATGCCTCTGTCCCCCACACTCTACTTGATTCAAGAAACATCTATAGAGTGGTCTTTTTGTGCAGCGTAAGTTGGCAAAAGAGTCCCTGACTGGTCCCTGACATTATTTTTCCCAAAGTCATCAGAAAGTCACATTAAGCCTTTCCCAGTTGAAGAAATAACCTTGGCGAGTAAGGAGGGCATTAGGCACTATAAAGGCTGCTCTGAAAGTTTGGTCAGTGGCAGGAGTCTTTTCTTTAAACCACATGAACCATTGAATAAATACTTTTTTCTGTGTCATTTCAAATTCAAGCCAACACACCCACCCCTGCTGTGGAGGAGGGGGAGGAAAGGAAGAAAGGGGAGGGAGGAAGGAAGAGGGGAATTCTTCAGCTAGATCTGGGGCCTTAGACTTTCCCGTGTTTTTTTTTTTTTTTTTTAATGTTACAAAGCAAGATCTCTCCTCTACAATCCAGAGCCTGATTCTAATTTCTGGAATACCACATTTTCATGTTAATAATAACATGTATTTAAGACATCTGTTTGAAAGGCTGCAAATGTTCATTTACCAAGTAGGGGAAAATAGTCCAATAAAAACTCGTTATATTCTTTTTTGAATTAACATTATGGCCATTTAATGGGTCCTTTACCAGGGTTCACATTAAAATTAGGTCTTTTATCTTTATAGCTCCTGCATACTCACAGCTGCTCACAGTTAATATCACAGATGAAATGAGCCTAATTGAAAATAAAAATGCAAATAAAACAGGCCTTGTAACAAGTTTGTGCGGACCAGGGTGCCCCCAGTGAGCTTATGACAAGGTAAGGGTTCTCTTGTTATCCAACAGCAGTGGACACCTCACTTCTGAAGTCTGGCCGTTCAGGAACTTTTGTTTGTAAACTCTTAGAGGGACCAGAGAGTTAGGGGATCTAATGTGGGAGGGATTCTGGAAGGGACTGACTTTCCACTGAAACACACAACATCTCTGTTTTCTAGTGCCTATTTCAAAGCTGTAGGATTGGACAAGAGAAAACCCTTCCTTTCCCCCTTTCTGGCGCTTGAGTAAGTCTCATGATTTGTAAGTTCTCTGACTTGGAATAATTATTCCATTGAATCACTGAATTTTAGGGTTATGGAAGGGATTTGGGGGCTCATGTAGAGTAACCCATACTCCCCAAAGAAACTGATTTACAGTTTCTTTAGCCAACCAGTGGTCACCATCTAAACTTTTCCTGAAGGCCTCTCATGAAGGGGAACCACTTTCTTCTGAGGCAGCCCATTCTTCGGCAAACTCTGACTGTACGCTGCTATTCACACTGGGTCCATGCTAGACTTGGATATCATGAAAGGCTTAGAGACTTTAATCTGATTATGTTTAGAACCTGAGTATATGACAAAGTTCAGGCATCCCCTTCTCTCAGACTCCATAGACTCTGGACTCAGCCCTACCGCATGGGCAGCTGAGACGAGAAGCTGGTCTCAATGTCCTAATGAAGAAGGAATGAAGAAAAGTGAAGAACACGGGTAAGTGTGGGAGCCAGAGGAGACTACTCAATTTGGCCTGGGTGCACAGAAGGGAAGTCAGTACCATTGACCTTCTGATCATTCTTGTAGGGAGATAGTGAGCTGGCAGGCAGACCAATTGTCTTGTAAGTAGAATCTTTGATTTTTTTTTCATGGCAAAAACCAAGTTTAGATACAGTAAGCCTCTCTCAGTCCTCTGACCTAGAACACCCAGAATGTCTAATAGTCAATGGTGACCTGTTGACCTGGGTTCATGTCTCACCTTGGACACTTACTACCAGTGGTCACTTAACCTTCCTCATCCTTAATTTTCTCATATGTAAAACGAGAGGGTTAGGCTGGATGGCTCTAGATTTCTGATTCTATGACTTGTCAACCTTGCTCATCTTTATGATATCAGGATGGGATAAGATGGTACTGGACCCATGATTTCATTATTACAGGGGACTCCCAATAAGGCAATGTGATCTATTCAATTGAGATTGGTACCTTCTCTACAAGTTAGAGAATCAGAAACTCTTCTGGGGCTATTGAGAGGTTACATGACTTGCCCAGGGTGATATAGGCCTTATGTGTCAGAGACTGGAATTGAACCAAAGTCTTCTCGACTCTGAAGTCGATTCTGTATCCATTCCACCATGGAATTAAGGCAATTTCTTTTCATTAATGTATCCTCATGCGATATGGAAAGGAGAAAATATGAGGAAAAACAAAGCACTGGAATTCAAAAGAGCATGTGGAACCTGGGACCCAAGGATGGGACCCAATACTTCATTAATGAATCAATAAATAAGCATTTATTAGGGACCTAATAATATGAGCTAAGTATTATTCTAGGCTCTGAGGATACAGACAAAAATGACATCGTTTTTGCCCTCAGGAAGTCTACATTCTATGGGGAAAAATATCTTTCTTCAGGTCATCTTTGGATCATATAGAAGTTTAGAGCTAGAAAGGGCCTTGAAGGCTATCTAGACCAAATGCCTCATTTTCTACATCAGAGGAAACTGAGGTGCTGAAAGTTGAAGTAATTTGTTCAAGGTCACATGCGGCAAAGCAGGAGTTTGAGCCCATGTCCTCTGAGTTTAGACCCAGTATTTTTTGCATGGTACCCCATTACTGTCATCTTATGGTTAGAAATGGTTTATTTATCTACTCAGTGTCAGGGAATATGACCCTGTCCCTTTTGGTTGCCCTATCCCAATGACATTGAGAATAATAATTGTTCATTATTCCATGACATTTTAAGATCTGCAAGAAAGGCTCTTTGTCACCATAACCCTGTGATGACAACATATTGCCAAATTTTCCAGACCTTGTTTAGGAGTACCTCTGAAAGGGGGTTCTAGAAGGACCCCACAATTCAATGAACCAAGACTTGGAGATATTTGAGGTACTTTAACCATTGTGACATTGGCCTGAATAAGGGATTCTGTCATGAAAACGTCTGGCAGCCCTCCACTTTTCCTCCTGGTGAGAGGACCCAATACCTCCCTCAAGTGAATGGAACCACACAAAAAGTGTTTCTTAACCATACCAACATCACACCTGTCTCCAGTTCTTCCAGGGGAACAAAGGCACTTCCCCGTGACAGGATGGCAAGGTCCCTCTCCTTCACAGTCGCAAAGTTGTTGGCACCTATCTCCGAATGTTCCAGATGGGCACCCTATCAATGACAGAGAAAGAGAAGGGTTTTTCACAGAAGATCATTTCTGAAGACTTTCTCTTTTTTGTCTTAGATTTGTGATTTCATCACATGAAGAACTCCTGGTATGGGAGTTACTTTTTACCAATACAGAGTTGAAACTCCTTTGTTATTATTTTTTGAGGCAATTAGAGTTAAGTTACTTGTCCAGGGTCACACTGCTAGTGAGTGAGGGTCTGTGGGAGGATTTGAACTCAAGTCCTCCTGACTTGATGTCCAGTTGCTCTATTCACTGCAGTGCTACCTAGCTGCCCCTCCATTTTTAGAGAATTCCTTGGGGCACTGAGAGATTAAATGGCTTTCCCAGAGACACATAGCTAGTGTATGTATCAAGAGCAAGACTTGCACCCAGAGCCTCTATCCATTAAACCACACTGAATTTAAACTACTGATGGGACTGAGCCAAATCATATATATACAATATGTACATGTGTATATATGCATGTATGTACATATGCATATATATGTGTCTATTCATATACAAAAACATTATATGCATACTTGTTCTTTAATTTTTTTGTTGTCATTCTTAGATGAAGAGATTTTTATAAATAAACAGAACTTTTGTACATAAATACTTAACTATACTTTGTTCATGGGCCATGTCCCACGCCTGGAATGTACTTCCCCCACCTTACTTCTCCATCATAGAATCCTTCTCTTCTTTAAGGTATAGTTCAAGCATCACCTTCTACATTAATCTTTTCCTTATCTTCCAACTGCTTCCTTTCCTTACACTTCCAACTATCCTCCCTTCCTAATTATTTCATATGTAACTGCCTTGTTCTTATTTTAAATATATTTATTCTGTACGTACTTACATAAGCACATTTCTCCTCCCAATGGAATGTAAGCTCCTTCAGGTTAGGAATTGTTTAAATTTTAGGCTTTTGCATTCTCAGTGTCTAATACAGTGTTTGGTGTATGGTGAGTGCTTAATGAATGCTTCTTGACTCCCTGATTAGTTGGTAAATACTGAAATACACTTGGGCTCTACCTTTTTCACACTGGCTGCCATGGTAACCTGGGGGACAGACGCACGTGCCATTCTCCGCGTCACACTTAGCTCCATTTCTGCAATCACAAGGGCGAGCGCAGTCCAAGCCATAAAATCCAGGGGGACACTCTGTGGAATGGAAATGACAATATGTGATTTTGGTCTTTTTAAAGAGGAAAAACAAAGTTAAATAATCCATTCTAGGTTTGTTATGTCCCAGGGCCAAGCACAGAAAGACAGATCGGTTTAGTAAGGAGGCAGAGAAAGAAGGAGGAACATGCATTTACTCAGTTCTTACTATGTGCTAGATGCTTTACAAGTAATATCTCATTTGATCTTAGTAAACTAAGCCAGTGAATTAAAATGAAGAAATCTATAAGAGTCTGATGAAAATAATTTAGTTTTTAAAGTAAATATGTAGGCACTAGTGCCAGTAATTAAACTGGGGGAAAAAAAGGAATTTATATCCTTTTTCAATCATCATCATCATCATCATCATAAGTAGCATTTATAAAGCACATTAAGATTTACAAAATGTTTTACAAATATTATCTCATTTGATTCTCATAACAACCTAGGGAAGTAGGTGCTATTAGTATCCCTATTTTACAGATGAGGCAACTGAGGCCAGGAGCGGTGAAGTAGATTTCCCTGAGTCAGGCAGCTAGGAAGTGTCTGAGGCAGGAGCTGAACCCCAGTGTTAGCCACTGCACCACCATCGTTCAGTTTTGAAAATCCTTTGCAATTTGCCCCGATCTATGTTTCCTGCCTCATTGGACCTTATGTCCCCTTTTGCATTTTGTGATACAGCCAAACTGGTCTTCTCTAAAATTCTTCACTCACCACACTTCATCTCCCACCTCCATGTCTTTGCATTGACAGTTCCCCATGCCTAGAATGCAGTCCCTTCTTACCTTTGCCTCAGAGAATTCCCCTCTTCCTTTAATAAACAACCCTAATACTATCTTCTGGATGAAGTCTTTCTTGATTCCCTCAAATAGTAATGCCTGCCCTCCCTCTGAAACTACTTATATTCAACTGCTTTGTATACATTAGTATTTTTAAACTTTATATTATTTCTATCATATATATATATATAAATACATACATACACACATATGTACATATACATACATACACTTACTCGTTATCTCCTCCATTATAATGTAATTTCCTTGCAAGTAGGGATTGTTTCATTCATTGTATTTACTATGTGACAGGGCCTGGCACATAGTAGGTACTTAATAAATGTTGTATTTGTACCCACATTGCCTAGCACAGTTCCTGCCACATTAACAAATGTTTGTTGAAGGACTGATTGATTCTCTTTCTAAATCTGTCCTAAACACTACCTGTGGATTCATCTTTCCAAAACACCATTTTGATCCCTCCACTTCTCTACTTAGAAACTTTGAATGGCCTACAGGCTGAAGAACAGCTGTTTCTGCTTGGGATTCAAGTCCCAGCCTATCCTGCTTGTACCCACTGAAAACATGTAATTTGATCTTCCTCAAGTCACTAGATTAGATCATAGAGAGTGTATTGTAGATGAAAAATTCCTGCTCATGGAGGCAGAGGACTTAGATTTGAATTCCAGGTTTGAGTGGCATTTCCTTATCTGTAAAAAGTGTGAGTTGGTTTAAATGATCTCTAATGGTGCTTCCGGCTCTTATATCATAATTCTGAGATGATAATTGATTTACACATCCCCCATTATTCTCAAATGTTTTATCTGATAAAAATTACTGACCCAGGATACCAGGATCCCAAATTTACTATCTATTATTCAATTAAAAATTTGTCAAATGGTCCAAAAATTGAAAAACAAGCTATAAAAACAAGTTGTGCATAGTAGACTCACAGTTTCATGCACAATCATCTTTTTTATTATATTATGTTATGGAAATGCTTGTTTTATTCCATGAATTAAAAATAAAATAAATTAAAAAAGGAAAAGCAATTAGGCAGTGTGTGTTGTTGTTATCATCATCATCACCATCATTTTTTTAAGTTGTAGCTCTCTTTTTCCCTTTTCTTGCCTTACTTTTTCTTTCATCCTAGGATAGTAGAATCACCATTTACAAGTTAAGAGAGTACAAAGGGGGTCTCTAGTCCAACCCTCTCATTTTATAGATGAAACTAAAGTCTAGAGAGTTTAAATGGTTTCTATATTTAAACCCAGATCCCCTAATTCCTAATCCTGCTCACTTCCTACCTCAAAACATTCCCCCTCCCTTATCCCTTTCTTTTCTACAGCGCTTATTCTTTCTTCTTTGTGAGCTAAAGGTCATCCTTTTTTAGATTCATACTTTGCTGTTACTAGTTTGCCTAACCTGTGCTATGATTGGCTTGTAGAAGTCTTCCATGGGGACTCCCCCAAGTGAGGAAGATAAGCAACCCTTTGTTAACTTGGTCTCTTGGGGAGTAGTTAAATGATTTGCCCTTGGTCACATAGCTGGTATAGTCAGAGGCTGGTCTTGGGCCAAAGGTGTCCTGACCCTATTGCTTTCTCTCTATCGGCAGCACCACAAAGCCTCTCATTAGTGCTTCACAGAGTTTCATTATCTATTGTAAGGTTTTCATAAGAAAGGATGTTTGCCTTTTGAGGTCAGTTGTCAACCTGTTGGACAGATCAGGAAGAGGAACTGGGTATAAGCTACCTTTTATCTTATGGTTATAAAGTGCTTCTATATATTCACATACAATAATAACAGCTAGTACTCATATGGCATTTTAAGGTTTGCAAAGCACTTCCCATATGTTATTTCATTTTAATACTACCCAAGCCCCCTCTACAGTCGGAATTCTGGTAATGGCGTTATCTTAAGAGCTCTGCATAATGCCCTGGATCACCCTCATCGGAAACTAATTGCCAACAGTGAAACGGTGACAGAAATTAGAAATAATGTCTTCTGGCTTCCCCCGGGGATGTAATCAGAAATCAGACTGTTGAGAAGGATCTTGAATTAATTCATTCATGACACCTTTATTTAGCACTCACTAAGTGCCAGACCCTGGCAAAACAGAGATAAAAATGAAAACTGTTCCTGTCCTCAGGAAGCTTACACTCTGATGGGAGAAAATGAATACCAGTAGGTAGGGAGACTAAACTAGTGATTTTGTTGATATAGACATCGCTCAGGTAGGGAGACTACTTTTTAAAATGCAGCTTGGCCCCTATTCTACAGCTTGTAGCCTTAGGGGGCTGCCTAGAGCCCTGGAAGAGAGTTACTTGAGCAGGGTCACGAGCCAGTGTATGTCAGAAGTGGAACTTGAACCAGGACATCCTAGCCCTGGGCTGTTTATGTACTCTGCTACACTCCTTATCTTCTATAGAGATAAGGGAGTACAAATATATACAAAATAAATGAGAGGACATATGATAGGGAGAGCTCTCTCCGAGTTAGGAGGACCTGATTTCAAATTACATCTCTGACATGTTCTAACTATGTCACCCTGGATAAGTCTTTTAATCTCTGAAGAAGAGGAAGTAGATTCCAAGAGTGCCTGAGACCCCATGAGTGAAAATATCATGAAAATTTTTATTGGTGTGGCCAAAGTCATATTTTCCCTCTGACATTGCTTTCCATCTCCTCCGTATAGAACTTGTATGCCCATAGTTATTCATATGTTGCCTCCTCATTCTAATGTAGACTCCTTAGGGGGAAGGGACTGTTGTTTTTTCCCTTCTTTGTATCCCCCTTGTGCCTAGAGAGTGCCTGGAATAAGTGCTTAATAAAATGCTTGTTGACTAAGTTCTAGTGGGCTAGATCAGTTAAATGTGCACTGTGATTGAACTTTGAAGGGATTCTAAGGCCTGACAGCCTTGTTTCAACAAAGGCAATTACAGTTAGAACAGAGTTCTGTCTTTCATCCTGCTGACTGAGAACCCATGTCTTTACATGATGATATCGATATAATTCATCATAATGGCTAGGGTGGAAACCATAAATGCTTTGGAGAACCATGCTTCCTCTGACTCAGAGAAGAAACTTGGCTAGGATATGGGGCTACTTAGGTTTCTATCAACCGATTTCCCTTGATCATGTTGCACATTGCGTACTGGATATGAATCAATAAATTACATTTACTTTAGTATTTCATTCTCTCCTAACGTCACCTCTGAATCTGGAGACTGATTTTTTTTTTGCCAACCTATTCAAACATCTTTCTTCTCTAGGCGGTTGTCCTCAACAGTCCTGAACTGCTGAAGGCACCCAAAGAGTAGATATAATAATAGGAATTAAGTTTAGTGGAAACCCACTGGCCACGAGCAACAGCTTGAGTGTCTAACCGCCATTCATCCCTTTTCAAAGGCTATTATTGAGCCTTCAGGAGAACGGGCTTTCTTAATGTAGCTTCTCAGAATCTTTATTTTGCCTCTAGATTCATCTCAAGGGTCAACTCTTCTGCAGAGCCATGTCTGGGCAGGAAACTATGAAATAGTGAGCAGAGCTCTAGCTCTGGAGTGAAGAAGTCCTGGTTCAAATCTAACATTCTACACTGGTTGTGTGATCCTGGACAGATTGCTTCAGTTTCCTCCTACGTAAAGTAGGGAAAATAATAGCACCTACCTCATATGGTTACTATGAGGATCAAATGGAATAATAGATTCAGAGTGTTTTTGCAAACCTTAATGCACCATATCAATGTTATCATCCTCCTCCTCCTCTTCCTCCAATTGTGGGTGCTTTATTTCTCCTCCATTTACCTCATATTCACTTATCTTTGTATGTGTTGCAGCTGTGTCCCCCTGCCCCATCCTTTCCATGGCCCAAAAGAATTGAAGTCATTTAAAGACTGGGACTAATTTTTTTAAAAATCTCTGTATTCTCTAGAGTACAACACAATGCTTTGCACACAGTAAGCATTTATATGTATATAACATAATTATATATAATACATTATATAATACACCATATTGTATATGTGCATGTATACATACACATATGTGTGTGTATATATATATACATAACTTATATAAAATAAAATCAAATTGAACACCAGGTTATGGTGCCCACCAGATTGTATTTCTCCCAGCGCAAATTATTTAATAATTTTCTCCTATCCAAATTAGCAATACAACACACCTCCAGAAAAAGAAGAATAACATGAATGTTGTTGCTGTTCAATCATGTTCAACTTTTTATGATTCCATTTGGGGTTTTCTTGACAAAGTTACTGGAGGGGTTTGCCATTTCCTTCTCCAACTCATTTTACAGATGAGGAACTGAGGCAAATTTAAGTGACTTGTCCAGCGTCACACATCTAGTAAGTGTCTGAGGCCAGATTTAAACTCATGAAGATGAGTCTTCCGGACCCCAGGCCTGGTGCTCTATCCATTCTGGTGCCACCTAGCTGCCTAACAATAACATAAACAAATATCATAAATGAGAGCCTGCCAACATGGCTTCCTTCCTGAGCCAATTCTATATCAATCTTCTCTCACCATAGATGACAATGGAACCATCATATTCACATTCTAATGCTCCAGCACCCACTGCAATAAAGAGGAAATAGAAGTGGTCCTTAGGAGAATTAGGTTGGGAAGACTGGCTGTGTCACTCCTCATAGACACAGAAGAAATATGTACTGGAAATATTTTATTGAAAGCACTGAAAAGTCAATTTTCAAAGATGTCTTGAAGAGGGAAAAAAAAGGAGGCAGCTAGGTGCTGCAGTGGTTAGAGCACTGTCCCTGGAGTCAGGAGGACCTGAGTTCAAACCTGGCTTCAGACACTTGACACTTACTAACTGTGTGACCCTGGGCAAGTTGCTTAACCCCATTGCTTAGCAAAAAAGAAGAAAGAAAGAAAGAAAGAAAGAAAGAAAGAAAGAAAGAAAGAAAGAAAAAAGGAGGGGAAAATAGTGAATAATTTGAGAAAATCATTGATGACATTACTATATGATGCAATAAATGAAACATAATGGAACCTGTACTATGTCTGTGCATGACTTCAGGGCAACCAGGTTGGGGCAACTCTACAATTTGTACCTGTCTCAAAATAACTTAGGACCATGGGCTGACTTCTAGACAGTTATGCTAAAAATGATAAATTAGACTGGTTATATTCTGGAACATATATATATATATATGTGTGTGTGTGTGTGTGTGTGTGTGTGTGTATATATATACATATATATGTATATACTTTCCCTCTTTGCTTGTACTTTTAAATGTCACCAATATATGCATCTGTAGTTTCTACTTACGGTGTTCACAGCTGTGCCCATAGTAACCCTCTGGACACTGACAGAAGCCAGTAAACCTACTACAAGTTCCGTTGTTCTGACAAGAGCACTTCAAACGGCAGCTTGGACCATATGTACCAGGAAGGCATGCTGTAAAGGAGAAGACATCCAAAAATTGGTACTTCTTGTTTAATTAAAAATGTGCTAACTCCTTGGGTTATTTCAGGATGAAGACTTTTTAAAAGCGACATTTGAAATGATGCCCAAAGCTGAAACTTCCATTAGACAAATAACCTGAAGAGTATACACCAGGGAAAATGAGAGCATGAATGTGGGTGATTCTGGGTCACATAATCATTGAAAGGGAACTCAGACTCCATCTAGTCAAACTCAATCTTGAAGAATTCCCTTCTATAACTTACCTGCCAAGTCATTACCCAGTCTTCATTTGAAAACTTCCGGTGAGGGAGGGAGGACCTGCTGTCCCCAGAAGGGGCCGGTTCTACTTTTAGACCATTATAATTATTCCAGAGTTTTTCTTTACATCAAGAATGTTTGCTCTCATTGATATAGGTATTCTCTCCAATGGGGCAGATAAAAATCTAGTAATGCCTTCTCATTTTATCTAACTTTTGTCCATGTATCTCCCTACATTCTGCACATATGATCTATCATAAAGCCTGGAACCCTCAATGACTCTTAACAAGGGATCCATAGATAAGTTTCAGGAGGATCTGAGAGCTTGAATGGAAAAAATATTACATGTTTATTTTAATTAATCTCTAAATTGAAGTTCAGTTTTTTCTTTAGCAATGAATGTAGGCACACGCATTTTTTTTTTTTTTTTGAGAACAGGTCCACAGGCTTCATCAAATTGCCGAAGCAAAAAAGGTTAAGAAATCAGGTCCAGTAATGGCTTAACAAGTTGTGTTATATGATCATGATAGAATTCTACTGTGCTATAAGAAATGATGAGCTCAATGATTTTAGAAAAACATGAAAAGACTTACATGAAATAATGAAGAGCAAAATGAGCAGAACCAAGAGAATGTTATATACAGTTTAACAGCAACATTGTTTTAAGAACAGTTTTGAGGAACTAAGTTATGTTGACTATTATAAATACTTAAATTAATTACAAAGGAGAAGGAAAACATTATCTTCATCCAGAGAAAGAACTCAGAAATAGATGTATAAAATGATTTCCCATACATATGTATATGTATACACACGTGCAAATACATATATGTTTATTTATACATATATGAGTGTACATGTATACACACATACACACACTTGTGTCTTATGGTAGCCATGTCTAGGGCAGGGGGGAGGGAAGAAATAAAAAGAAAAAAAAAGAAATTTACATGATAACTATCATATGTTTAAAAGGAATAGCAATTTATACATAATAAATTTGCAGTTCCATGTGCAATCATCTTTTTTATTCTACTATGTCACAGAATGCTTGATTTATTTCATAAATTAAAAATAAAATAAACAAAATTTTTAAAAATTCCTGGTGCAGATCTTGTGAGATTTTATGGGTAAGAGGGCAGCGCTTGAATTGTACTCTTATCTCTCAACATGGCTATGTGATTCACTCATGCCCCTTTCTGATTGTACATTTCCTGACTCATATCCCTTGTGTCAGTTCTTGCATGTAGGTCATTATCGGACTGAAGCTATAGCTGACTCATGTCTTCCCGGTATCTCTCCATTACCTTTTGGGTCACCCGAAATTGAAATGTTTGATGATCAGTTTATTCCTTGGTTCACAGTTAATCAGCATTGCTGGTACAATAGGAACATTTAAAAGATTATTTTCTTGTTTTCAGGGAGTGACTTGGACCTGTTAAAACTTGTGTGAAACTTCTCAAATGAAATACAAGTCACTCTCTTCATTTTATTAAATTCTGGTCTTGACTCATTGCCGATTGTTTTAATTACCTGTCCAAAATATATGGACTAATGTATCTAACTTCATGCCATAATTTAGGCAGCAAGGATTATGAATCATTATTTTTCTTCATGTTTTGATATATATCCATCTCTTGTGTGCAGTCATGAATCTCATTTAGGATATCTCGTGGTAGTCTGTGAGGGACTATCTGATGTTGGCAGCTACCAGGTCGGGCGCTGTGGCAAGAGTAGGGTAGGATCTGGGTATTTTGGAAGTCAAGGCAGGGGCTGTGGTAGGCAGAGTCGTGGTGAACTGGGATGGGCTGGATACGGAGAAGCCCTGAGGCAGTGGGCAATGCTATGTTAGATAAACTGGGTGCAAGGAAGTAGCCAGAGCTTGAGCTTCTGAGGCAAGGGGCGGTGCCACGTGGGAGTGGGACGGCAGAAGACTGAGTTCCCTTTGCTTAGTCCCCTCCCTATATGCAACGTCATCCCCAGACGCCTCTTGTGACCTTCCTGACTTCCTGGGTCCCTTTGTGCAGCACTGACCCAGACCCCTCCTCCCAGTGTCTGAGTCTGACTTCCTAGGTCACGTACTCTGTCTATGTGCTAATCCCAGATGCCTCCTCCCTGTATCCGGTCCTAGCCTCCTACGTCACTCCCTCCCCCTTGGTGTGCTAAACTCAGACAGCCCCTTCCATTATCTGACCCTACAATCATTGGCTAGTAAGCGGGCTGGGGAGGAAGGGCTAGGTAGGTACTTAGAACAAGCGTGGTCAGATCACACACGCGCTCTCTCCTGGCTCCTGCCCTATTGCTCTGGCCTTGCTGCTTGGGCTTGCTATGATGGCTTGCTGTGATGGCCTCTGAATAAAGCTCTGGTGTTGGCACCTCCCGATGGCTCGTCTCTGTGTGTTTATCCGGCAGAGGACCGAAGACTCGAGTGTGAGTATGACTCTGGTAGTGTGCTCCTTATAGGAGGAGAGGGTACTGGCGTGCGGCCGGCAGAAGGTCGGCGCGCGGCCAGTGCAGTAGTCAGTCAGTCACTTAGCAAGTACTAAGCTCCCACTTTGTGCCAGGCTCTGTACTAAGAGTTGGAGATGCAAAAAAGTGAAAAAATGATTCCTTTCACTCAAGGAGCTTACAATCTAATGGGGAAGACAAAATGCAAACAATTATGTACAAACAGTGTATATAGCATGATTGTATACCAAGATATTTATCTATATCTATCTATATATACATACATAATAGAAATAATATATATATATATGAAATCATATGTGTGTATGTATACATACAATGCCATCCACAAATTGTAACATTTTAGGATATCACTATGTATAAGTAATCTCTCTTCCTGTCTCTTCCATTTGGAATTTTCCTGGATTTCCTCCACGATATAAGCGAACAATATCGATGATCATATGACTCCGTGTTTTAAACCTCCCTTGATACTGGTAATGTAAAGGCATGAAAGTCATTAATTGAAGTTACCTCTGAAATTGAATAATCAAGGAATCTACTATAATCTCATTATGTGCATGGGAAGGAGAATCATCAAGACTGTAATTTGCTTTATTCAGTCAATTTCCCTCCCTATACTTGACAAACAATACAGCAGGATCTTGTATTCTTCATACCTTTTAGCTAATTGTGAGCTATAAAAATAGCACTTATTCTAGAAAATTATCTGTTTTCTTCTCACATTTTAATCAAATATTTTCTTGATAAATATGCACACCATGTTCACAAATATTTTATAAACATCAGAAGAAGAAAATAAGCATATGGGTTAATAGCTGCTAATGTCCTCTCAAGCAAATTTTCTTTTCTTTGGAGGGGGTAATAATACTCAGTATTTTTTCTAGTTTAATATTTCATTTCTTTGAGACATCTGGAAAACTGACCTTTTAATGTTTTTGTAATCTGAGGGCAGAAAATTTAGTAACCAATCTCTATCAATGAGGAGAGTTTTATGCAAATGAACTTTGGGTTGTTAGTTATACTTTTAATATATGTATACATACAATGCCATACAGTGCTTTTTTAAATATTGTGCTTTGACCATAGACATCTTCTCCATGTACAGTTTTTCTCTCAGTGACCTTCTTATGCATAATTTATATTTCCTCATCAGGCCACTGGGTCCTGAGGTGGACCATATGTGAAGGTTCTACTTTTATCAATGGCAAAAATATGTTTTCTTGCTATTTGTTATCTTTTCCCCAGGCCCAGGTTGTACAGTCTCTTGGGATGACCTCACTTAGATGTAATATTATTAACCTACAAAATACATCCAAATGCCCCCCTTTCCCCACCTACCTATCCAGAAACCAGTCAACAATCACAACTCTGTTAGCCTAAGAAGGGGTAAATGCTGGGTTAAAAAGAAGCATCATGAAAAAGTTAGAGAACATCAGATATGGAATGAATGATTTGGTCTAACTCTCTTCTTTTACACATCATGAAATTGAGACTGAGATGGATTAGGTGACTTGCCCATAGACATATGATGAAGAGCAGAGCTTGGATTCGAACCCAGATCTGACTCCAAGGAGTCATCTTTCCACTCCAATGTCTACAAGTTTCTTAACAATAACACTGAATGATGTAGAGAGAAACAGAAAGGGAAGACAATAAAGTGCAAGGGATAGCATGGAACTCAGGATTCAGAGTTGAAGGATACAGAATAAAACCCATCTCTGTCTCCTGTTGCCTGGAGACTGGGGGTTAGACATTGCTAGACTTTTCTAGACCTTCATTCCTCATGTGTAAAATGGAGTCTTAGACAAAGTAACCTTTAAGAATTCTTGCAACTTTAAATCTATTATCCTATAATGTTATGAAAGTAACATGATTAACATATATTCTTTTAATCCAGGTAATATGATTCATTTTTTTCTTTTTTGAAAATTTTATTTTGGGGCAGCTAGGTGACATGGTGGATAGATCCACTGCCCTGGATTCAGGAGGACCTGAGTTCAAATCTAGCCTCAGATACATAGCACTTACTAGCTGTGTGACCCTGGGCAAGTCACTTAACCCCATTGCCCAGCCAAAAAAGAAAGAAAATTTTATTTTATTTGGAACTTAAGAAATAATACAAGCATTTCCATAACAAAGCAGAATAAAAAAAGATGATTGTACGTAAAACTGAAAATCTATTATGTACAACTTGCTATTCCTTTTAAATACATAATAAAGTTATCATGTAACATTTTCTTCCTTTTTTCTCTCCTTTCACCCTAGAGATAGTTATCATTAATCACAAATGTGTATATATGTGTATATATATATGTATGTATGTTTATTTACATATATATACGTAAAACCATTCTAGACATACTTTTTTTTTATCAGTTTATCAGTTCTTTCTCTGGATGCAGATAGCATAGTTCCTTTGTAGTTAATTTAGGTATTTATAAAAGTCAAACTGATTTAGTCACTCAAAGTTGTTCTTAAAACAGTATTAATGTTACCATATACAATGTTCTCTTGGTTCTGCTCATATGATTCAGTGACAAAACTCATATTCGAGTTGACAGATAAACTTCTGAGGAAGTACTCTGTTGAATGGATGACAGTGACTTTCAACTTCTTGGTGCCAGATTTTTGTTTCTAATTATACAATAAGATGGTATGGTGGAAAGAGCATTGGACTGAGTACAGGAAAAGGCAGTCCGGACAAGTCACTTCCTCTTCTCACTCTCCATTTCTTACTTTTTAAAATGGGTATAATAACATCTACTTCACAGGATTTTTGTGAGGAGAGCATGGTATAGCAGATAAAGCCATGGATTTTGAATCAGGAAAATCTGGATTCCAGTCCTCCCTCAGACACACACTAATCGTGTAACCCTGGGCAAGGCACTTGATCTTTCAAGTTTCTTCAACCATAAAATGAGGGTGTTAGGCTCAATGGACTATAAAATCCTTTCCAGCTCTGAATCCATGACCCTATTACCTAATGAGGATCAAATGAGATAATATATTTCAAATTATTTGAAAATTTTAAAGTAATATATGAATGCCGACTATTCTTGTTATCAAAATCATTGTTGTGCACTGTCTTTTAGTGGCTGTTGGTCATATGATCTAAAGTAGATCCAGTTAATTAGTAAAAGGCCAAGAATGGCAACTTACCTTGCTCACAGTAACTGCCTGTCCATCCAAGTCCACAGGTACAGTTTCCATCCATGGGATTACAAATCCCACCATTTTTGCAGGCACAAGTGAGCTGGCATTTGTGGCCATATCTTGCCTGGGGACAATCTGTAACCATATTTTCAAAATTAACACAGTAGAGCAAAATATCACACAGATAACTTTTCTCAGTGAGTTAGATGGAGAAACTGCACATGATAGCATCATGGCATAAGGAAATGCTTATGAATTTTCTGAAGTTAAGCACACTGGTGCAATACTGAGGTAGAGATATCAACAGTAATTAGTCAACAAGCATTTATTAAGCCCTCTGTGCCAGGCACTATGCTACCTTCTGGGGATACAAGGAAATGTAAAAATAGTCTTTATCCTCAAGGAGCTCACAAACTAATGGGGCCACAACTTGTAAACGGCTACCTAGGACATCTTCTATATTTAAAAAAAGTGCTTTCTTCACAATACACCTGGGAAGCAGGTAGTAGAAATATGATTATTCCTATTTGACAGAAGAAATTGATCCTTGGAGAGGTTAATGGACTTGCCTTGGTTATGGATGCAGTATGAATTGGTGATAAGATTCAACTCCGTAAGACCTACCCTCCTGACACGCTCAGATCTCTTTAAATTACACTGTCATGCCACTAAATAAATACTATTGTATCTCTGCCCAGTCTTGCCTGGGCAATTTATAAACTTCCTGTAGCAATGATAGAAAAAGATTAAAATAAAAAGAGGGACCTCGGCAGGGATGTGATGGAGCCAGGCTGATCTTGCTTCTGAGACCCGATTGTTAAATTTTTGGTGTGAGTGTTTACAACTCAGAAATTGACAAAGACTGTAAATTAGGGCTTGATTTATTGTTTTATTGCTTGCCAAGACTTAAGAAAGTGATGCAGAAAATTTTAATGATGCAGATTAAACTTTAAAGTGTGTTGTGCTTTTCTAGAGAGCTGGTTGTTAAACTTCTACCAGCATATCACTGAATCTAGGGGTCATTGGGTTCCTTGGTCAGTCAGAAACATGGCTGAAAGTCTGGTCTTAGCTCTTAGCGCTGAATGAAACAAGGAAGGCAGACAACTGTCTAATAACATTTTCAGGTAGTAACTTAACAGATACATGACTTAACTCTCTGTCCTACAGCCATGATTGTTTCCTAACACTTAAAAGGTTAGCTATTTGTGAAACTACAGTGAAATCCCAGACAGATGAAGCTTGTGGTATTTTTGATAAGTGGTCCTTCATAGTTTTTTTTTAAATAACTATAATCTGAGTAAATGAAAAAAATACTACATTGTCACAATAAACTAGATTTTGTTAGTTTGTCCTCCACAATTCATAGACCACAGTTTGGACTGGAGGTTTTATCTTCTTGACAAGACCGTGGAAGATATATTGGTCGAGAAAAGCTTTTACACCTAAGTTTGCCTTATTTAGTCAAATGGGACTTAATAGTAGAAAACAAAAAAGACACACAGGCAGGTTGTACGCTCTTTCTCTCTGGAGCTGTTTACTATAGAAAAATCTATAAAGATCTGCCTGCTCCCTTCTTTTTTTTTCATCAAGGACACTCCAGGTAAGTGTGTAAAAAGTATTGAGATCCCTATAGGGTGTATAGGATCTTAGAATCATAGATTCAGACCTGGGAGGACCTTGGAGGCCATCTGAGCTCATTTTAAGAGGAGGAAACTAAAGCCTAGAGAGGTGAGGCTTCTTGCCTATGATCATACAGATAAAAGTGGTAGAGCCATTTTTAAAGCCAGGATTGGAATCCAGGCCCTGTACTTCAGAGTGGAGTGTTGATAAAATACTCTCTTCATGGTATTGGAATGAGTAGTCTCAGCAACTTGACAAGGACAAAAGATGTTTTGTTTTTTTTTTCATTTGTGTGGAAGATAATACTCCTTGGAAGCTATGGAGACACCTATTGATAACCCAACCACACCAGTTAATTGTAATAGCTCTTCATGATTTAGTCTTCTCTTCGGAATGAGGATTACACATGGGAGTAGACAAATCAGTAGACTAGATCAAAGAACAAGAACTAAGCTGAACTAAGTGTGTGTGTGTGTGTGTGTGTGTGTGTTACTCCTTAGCCTTACACAAGACTGTCCAGAGGGGTTTTTGAAGGGGGAATAGTTTAGCTTCAAGAGAGAATTCCACACAGGGCAGCAGTATGAAGCAATGCTGGAACATTAAGAAGTCCTGAACTGAGCCTTGTAGAGAGAAGAGCTACTTTGTTACCCCAGAACTGGAGGAGAAGCCAGGCTCTGAGCCACTATGCACCTTCTCCTGCTACCATGGTTCTTAGGCGAATTGGGGTGGGGGAACAGTTTAGAAACCTTAAGTTAAAATTCCATACTGGAATAGTTCCAAACCTCAGGGTAGTACTCTAATTCTAGGCTCTTGGAGGAGAGAGGAATTCACTGAAGGGTAATAGGGTGTTTTTCTAGATCTTACACACATTTTCTTTCTGGGGAGTCTCAACAAAAGGGTGGTGTTATATGTCTGAAGGATGGGCATAGGTCACCAAGAGTATCGAAAAGCTAGGAATTACCACGAAGTGAAAGAGAATTTGTCCTTCAGTGTTTAAGGTCTCCTGTGAATCCCTTATGCTGTGTGTGGTAGAATAAAGACAGTCTTGAATCTGATATATATTAAATTGAGTGCTTGCACTGGAAACCTAAGGACCTTTTGCTCATATCTGTAGAAACCTAAAAGTGGAAGTGTTGTGATGTCTCTGGGGGAGGGGCCAAATGAACCAACTTCTGATGTTCTGGGTGGAGATGTGAATCAAAGACAATGATTTATGAGAATCCCTCCCACCAATTGAATGTGATAAATTTAAGTCTAGACTATAAGTTTCTGTTATTTTCATGCAGGATAATGTAACCTGCTTGAAGATAAGGATTGGGTTTTTTTTTTTTTTGTAGTCTTTGTAGTTTGTTTTTTTTTTTGTTGGAAGTTCCCTGTACCAAAAACATCAGTGGTCCAGTTTAAAAACAACTAAAAATGACTTTGTGTCCCCTGATCTTAGCATAGTGTTTAATACGTGTGTGTTGGATTAGATTGAGTTACATATGAATTATCATTCTCAGAAGGCTGCTAATAAGAAAATAAATAAGTAAATGAGTTTATAGTTTCCAGTCTTCTTAATTATCTCTTCTTGGTCCCTGATCATTTGAATTCTTCCCAGTTTTTTTAGATATCCGGATAATTAATCCTGAATGGTCTTCAAAATTGTACTATCTGCAGTATGGAGTCTCTCTCTGTTTACTTGGTATGGTCTATCTCCTATTACTGGCTTTGTCTTTTGAATGTGCTAGTTTCATTTCCTTGTAAAACACACTGCTTACTAAAGCGTTAGGGTTCAAATGTAATGATTTGATCATCATCCATCACAAATAAAGAAACATTAGGAAATCTCTCTACTATTTTTGTATTTACTTATTGTCTTCCTTTCATTCTCACATACAAATGTTCTTGGGATGAAGTGGCTTATTTGGGTCTTGAGCCAATCTTTCTTTCAGATGCATTTTCTCTTCCACTGTTTGTGAGATGATACCATTTTCAGTGTTACACTATTCTCCTGTGCAACATTTTACAAATGAGTTTACATTCTAAAGTACTGTTGACTTTGGCTTCTGTGACTCTGTGCTTGGCAGGGAGTTCCAGTGCTTCTTGGCTGAGACGGTTTGGGGGCTCTTTTGGCCTCTTTTGCAGATGACTATTTAATGTTGATTCAATTTCTCTCAGAAGTGATTGCATCAGAGTCAAAGTTATTTAACTTTGCCCATTTTCCATTGTTTAGCATCAATAGCTCATTTAAATGGGTCAGATGGGAACTGTTGAAATTGTATCCATCTTCTCATCTTTATTCTGTCTTCTAATTTGTTGTTGACTTTGGTCCTTGCTTTATCAAGTTAATCTGGCTGTATGATGACAGCTCATTCATAAATGACTCCCATACTGGTAGCTGATTGTATTTGACCTGATAAAATATAGTCAAATTTAGTTTTTCCTTATATTGTTTGGTTTGACCTCAGCAACATCAATTGTCATATTGATTATAGGTGGGGATAGAAAAAAAAATGTTAGTAAACATCATTGAGAATCAATGAGTGAAAAAGGTAAGGACTGGTAGATTCTTCAGAAGCTTTCCCCAGTACAGCATGAATACTTTCTTTAAGAAAAGCATTACAATATCTTTGAGGCTCTGTCCTAGGCCCTCTTCTCTTTTACTCTATTCTGTCTTACTTGATGATCACATTAGCTCTCATGAGTTTAATGAAAATCTCTTTACAGATGACTCTGAGATATTCAGCCCTTAGTCTATCCAAAGTAATATGAAGCCAAGGGAGTTTACTGAGGTGGGGGAGGTGGGCAAGCCTCCATATTAGAAAACTCATGTTGGTAGTTGAGGGAAGGATGTATTGGAGTAGGGAGAGAGTTAGGATAGGTAGACCAAATGGAAGGCTATTTATTATAATATGTATATAATAATATAATTATAATGATTATAATTTATATAATACAAAATTTATTATAATAGATCATGAGGGTATGACCTGGAGGAGTAGAGCGGAAAGATTGTGAAGGTAGAAATGACAAAGTCTGGTAATGTTTTAGATATATGGGCTGATGAAGAGTAAGGGGTCAAAGTGCAATTCTAAGTGACTGGGGGGAAGGTGGTTGTTTGAGGTAAAATACAATGAGCTCTGTTTTGAACATGTAGTGTTCAAAGGGATGCCTGTGTAAAACCCATTTTGAGATGTCCCCAAGACAGTCAGTGCTATTGTATGGTAGTGAGATTGGGAGAAAATAAGTGGATAGATCAATGTGCTTACATGTTCCCTTGCTGTATCATTCAAAGTAACAAGCAAACAAACCAATGAAAATATCCTATCCATGGGTTGTTCCCATGAGGGGGGAATTTACTGAAAGATATGGACAAGAATCACAGAATGAGACTTCTTGGAGTGTTTGAAATTTACCCTGATGGAGGTAGTACCTGCTCTTATCTACATGCTTCTACCCACAGAATTCAGCATGGATGCACCCATTTAAAATTTTATAAATAGCACCCAAATTATTGTCTGGTAATTTCCTATTAAATGAGAGGATTTATGATTTTGTGGCATGCTCTTGAAAGTATTGTCTCCACTCTCAGACTTGGCTGATGCATTGTTTCATTTTGTAGAATTGCTTCTTACCTCCCTTTTCATTGTTTATTCTTAGTTACAACGTATAGCTCTTTGGGGAGAAGAGGAGAGCAGAATGAGAAGAATATATCTGTAACTGAAAATAATTTAAAAATAAAATATATAAATAAAAAAGATCGGTGTTTACAAATGACACAATCAATTCTGGTCACATGGAATTGGAAAGGTTTTGCATGAACAAAATAATGCAAATAGGTTAAGAAGAGGAATAGTTGAATGGGAAAAAAAAATCTTAGTACCAACTATTTCTGATAAAAACCTGATGTCCAAGATAGTCAGCTAACAGGAATATCTAAGACCAAAAGCCATTCCCCAATGGATACATAATAAAAAGATATAAACAAAAAGATACTTGCAAGACATGAACAACCATATGAAAGGAGGTGAATGATAAAAAGAAAGCTTTCTTATGTGCCCAAATATTAATAGGAATGGTTTGTATAGTAGCAAAGAAGTGGTTACAAAGCACATGTTCATAGATTGTGGGACAGTTAAACAAGTTATGATAGATGAATTTAGTGGGAAATTACTGTGATGTAAGAAAGGATGGATGTGAAGAAAATCGACAAGTATTGACAGATTGATTTGATGAAAAGTGAAGTGAGCAGAAACAGGAAAGTAACATATACAATGTAAGTGGAAAGAACAATAACAAGACAATTGAAACTGAATCCCATGAAATTATAAGGACCAAGCTCGGCTCCAAAAAAGACATCAATAGAAGCACTTTCTGCTATCATTTTTGAAGAGATGGGGAACCTTGGGTGTGGAACCCTGTAATTAAAGTCAGGCTCTTTCAACAAGCTTATCACAGAGCCTGGCGCACAGTAGGTGCTTAATAAATGTTTATTGGTTAATTAATTGATTGATGGTTGGTTTTGATGAGTTGTTTTCTTCCCCTCTTTTTCATTCTTTGTTATAAGAGATTGCTTTCTGGAAGAGGGAAGAAGGGTATAATAGGAAATGTAATTGATGTAAAAACAAAAATACATTTTAAAAATTCAATTAAAAATTAAAGTGTAGCTTCGAAGGATCAAGTATTTTACCATGTTTCCCCCCTCCCTCAAGAAGAAACCATTATAAATAAGAACAATGTATTTACTTTCCTTGGCTCCCAAGCTACCTTTATGTTTCATTTTGCTATTCCCTAGGCAGACAAGGTGACCTTGTATATCTCATTCTCTTGCTTTGCTGACAGCTGGGTCCACTACGCCCAGGCAGGCACTGGCACCATCCAGTCTTTGGGTCACCCTGCCCTGGGCCACAGAAGCACAACAGGGCACAATTTCTCCCACAGTGATTTTCAGGACAAACTATAGTTAACAACATGAGCATATTTTTCTCATTAAAACATTCTGGCAGTCGGCGGACATTTTAAAAAAAATTTTGTAATACAAGGCTCCTTCTTTTAATCAAACAGCCTTCTCTTACTTGCCTTCAGTTCAGCTTTGAGTCTAAAAACAGTTGCTTTCAAAAGGAAAAGAAATTGTTCAAAGCTTTGCTTATTTTTTCATTGCAATTTGGGTTGACGTTAGGAATTTCCAAGCAAACATGTAGTGTCAAAACATTTTGACTAGAAATCGCTCTTGCAAGTCAGGAGCCTCAAATGGTCCCAATTTAGATCGAAACTCACCTTTTAAAAATGTACTTATTCTTCTTTAGTGTAGAAAGCACTGGATTTGAAACTAAATTTAGAGGTCAGATCCTGGCTTGACCACTCAGTTCCTGTGTGATCTTGAGACATTCATTTAACCTCCAAGGGTTAAATTCCTCATCTCTAAAATGAGAGGACTGGGTCAGATGACCTCTGAAGGCCTTTCCAGCTCTCAATCTTGACCCAAAAATGGTTCCCTTAGAAGTCTAGCTTGCATGTACAAATACCAAGACAGGACCTTATTGTAAGCCGATCTTCATTGCTGAATCCAAGGAGACAACACTCTATGTGTGTAAGAGATATGGGCTCAGAATTATTTTCACTGGCTATTACTTGTAAATTGGTTGATAAATATTCTTCAATGCTGTGTGTCTTCTTGTTCCCAGCAAGACTAGCCCTTGGCATGATGCTTGCCATAAGCACAATACCATCATATATTAGCCTAAGAAGTAACTTAGCAATGAACTCTCTTATCTGATAAATGAGGAAAATGAGGCCCTGATGTGACTTGTCTAAGGTCTCATAGCTGGCTTGTAGAACAGTAGAATGAGAATTCAAGTTCTTTGGTTCACCTACCATGCCATACTAACTTCCTACAGTGTGGTTATAACATGATATGTCAATCAGACATCATCCCTAAATGTATTGTGGATAATTTAGATAAAAATGTTGGTTATTTTCCAATCCATCCCATTAAATTACAAAAAAAACCCCAGAATTTATTGTTATCATCATCACCATCATCATTAGTATTAATATTATTGCTATTATTAAGTGTAAGGTACTACAATAGTTACCAGGACACAAAGACAAAAAACCCAAACAAACAAACATGCTTGCCTCCAGGCAGCTTACATTCTACTTTTATTGTATCCCCACGGCTTAGCTAAATAATTATCTTTGCTTTCCATGTGTTTCATAAATGGAGATAGGACAGTGTCTCAATAGAGTTCATATATAGTACCTGGTACATATTAGATGTTCAAGAATGAATATTTGTTGAATTGAAAATGAATGTTCAATTTAATTCAGCTTGCATTTATTTAGTGCTTCCTATGTGGCAGGTGTGGAATATGAAGACAAACAGGCGTCACCTCCTTCCCGCAAGGAGCTGACAACCTATCTGGAGGGAATCGATATGTGCACAGAGAAGTTAAATATGAAATACAGGATAAAGTCTGTGACTTCATTAGTACAAGAACTCTTGGTTGAGGAAGCTTCCCATACCGAAGAATTGACACCTTCTCGTAAATCTATAATCTAATGAGGTGCCTAGAGCACAGCGACACTCTCAAATGCAGCCAAACCAGATTAAAATGTAGTTGGGAAACATTGAACAAAATAAATAAAAATGCAATAAGACACGGATGATGTTAATATGTGATTTTCTACATCTATCTGCATAGTTTAGTGGCCCTACTTTCTGCTTGAGTTTGATATTACTGGCTAGTGCACTGAGAGGTTAGGGGTGCTGTGGAAGGCCTCAAGGCCAGCATGTGTCAGAAGGAGAATCTAAGGCCAGGTCTTTCTGGTTCTGAGTCCACCACACCAGGCTGTTTCTCTGAAGAAAATATAAGGCACTATTTATCTTAAGGTGTGAGGGAGAACTCTATCACCTTAGGTCATCAGGAAAAACCTAGTGGGAATAAAAGCTTGAGCTGAGTATAGAAGGGACTGAAATTACAAGAGGTGGAGGTGAGAGAGGGGAGTATTTGAAACACAGGGTAAAGAGATGAGAGGTAGGATGTGTACAGTTTCGTTATTGAGTCTTTTTCCAGTTGTGTCCAACTCGTGACCTCATTTGCAGTTTTCTTGGAAGAGATAGTGGAGTGGTTTGCCATTTCCTCCTGTAGCTCATTTTACAGATGAGAAAACTGAGGCAAACAGAGTTAAATGCCTTGCCCAGAGTGTCACACAGTGAGTAAGTGTCGGAGGCTAGATTTGAACTCAGGTCTTCCTGACTTCAGGCCTGGCACTCTACCCACTGCCCTTTGTGTACAGCTAGTGTGCTAATTTGGCTGGAATGAAGAATGTGCGAGAGGGAATGAAGTATGATAACACAACTAAGACAGAGGAGAGCCAGATTATGAAGGGCTTTGAACCCTGGAGGTGTTGATATTTTTTCCTTGGGGCCATCGGGAGCTGTTGAAGTGTGTTGATCAGAGAGTGATGTGGCTAGTCTGGACTCTAGGAATATCATCTTGGTAGTTTTATGAAGGATGGATTGAAGAGGGGAGAAGGTTGAGTTAGGGAGACCAGTCGGTAGGATTGCAATAGTCAGGTAGGAGATGAGGCTCTCAACTTGTGTAATGGCTTTGTGAGCAGAGGAAAAGGTAACAAAGTGAGAGGGGTTGGGGATTAGAATCCACAAGCCTTTTCAACTAGATCTCGTTAGATCTAGCAAGGCATAATTTTCTTTTGTCGAACCTTTTCCTTGTCCATTCAAAACCCAAACATATTTTTAGGGAAATTGGATCTGCCTGCCCCTGACCACTCTCACTTAAGTCAGTGATTGTTCAGTCATCTCAAACTGAAGTCTCTGAGTCTTTTGGAACAGCTTTCCTTTGAGCTGGGAAATCGTTTTGGGGAAGTGGAGCTATAAGATATTGAAAATGAGTTTGAAATTTTGAACCCAGGCAACCCCAGTTGGGTGGGATCTTGGCCAATCCATTTTCCAATCCTGAGTCTGACCCAGCACTGTAGGAGTGGGAGGTGCTGGGACCAGAACTCTCTCTTTGGCTGGCTTCCACAGACTCCAGCTTTAAATCAAGTTCTGACAAAAGGAATACTCACCCTGAGATTTGGGTCAGTGTGTGTTTGTTTGCACTGCAGTAAATTATCAAATACAATAGCTGGGGCATTGTTTTTTCTGCTAACTGAAACTCTTAAAGTCTTTCATTCAGTGCTGGCCTTGGCTAAGGGAGTAAGCTGTCCTGGCAAGATGCAGTTAACCCCTCCAGTACCACTTCCAGTGACTTACCCTGACCACAGTCTGTGCCAGTGAATCCAGGGGGGCAGTCACAGGTGCCAAGCACGCGGTCACAATGGCCTCCATTCATGCATTTACACATCTTTTGGCAGTAAGGACCATAAGTGCCGTCTGGGCACCCTGTTGGAAAAAGAACAAAACCACATGTTACACTATTTCTAGAAGCCAGCCAGTGTCTCATTTCATGTTCTTGGGCACTCAGTTACTTAAACATTCTAAGTGATGGCTCATTGGGTATTTTTGGTCCTGCCCAAGTTATTCCCACTTAGATCTAACTTTTTTTTTTTTTTGGTCAGTTAGCTGTCTCAGAGATTCAAGTCAATACAGTGAGTTTTTATTAAGTACCTAATATGTGCCAGGCTCTGTGATAGGTGCTGGGGGTGTAGAGGTAAAACAAAGCAATGCCTGCCCTTGATTAGCTTAGATTCTATCTGATGTAGGTAGTAGCCATTCCTCAAATGCTCTCCCTCCATCCTTCTCTCTGCTAGAATTTCTAGGTTCTTCCAGAGCATGGCTCAGGTACTGACTTCCATACAAGACCTTTTTTGTTCTCCCAGATATTCATTATCTCTCTTATAACTTTAATTTATACTGACTTACCCGTATATGTATTATCTCCCAATAAAATGTAAGTTCCTTGAGCACAGGAACTGTTGTGGGTATAAAACTAAATCGAAGGCAAACCTTCCCCCTCCTCTGCATCCGTCATTGAAGTCCTCCTTGCACATTCTATATGGCTTGATATCTTCTCTGGGTTCTTAAGACTACACTAGCCGAATGGAATCTCTGGTAGGGTCTACCATGTTGGAATGCCCTTATGTACATAAGCAGCACTGGACTACGTGTTTGCCGTGTAAGGACAAGCCCAGCAAAATCAATAGAAACCGACTCATTGACAGTTTAGTTACAAAGTAACTGAGGCAGGCCCCAAAATTGTCCAACCAAGGGACTGTGGTCTGTTCCGATGGAAGGGACATTAGTCCCAATGAAACCTCAAATCTCTGAAGCACGGGAGTATGGGAGGCGACAGGCAGAAGAACTCTGGTGTTACTCACCAACCCTCTACGTTCCTGTCAGTCTTAGGTTAGAACCCTACCTAAATTCAATACTAAAAAACCCCCTATTTTGTTTAAAACAACAACTACAACAGCAACAACAATGGGGATGATGATCTGCCAAGAAATCTGCTCTCATTGAAACCTAGAACAAAATAGCTGTCTGGGCGTTGTACAGGTCCCTACCGTAATGGTTCAAAGTACCTAGCAGCCTTTGCCACAGAGGCCAACAGGACTTGGTGGGGATAACAAGTCTTTCTTGACTCATTACCCCACTTTGTACTAGAACTGTTTGTCTCTGTGCTTCTGCAATTCAGGTGAGCCTTTCCATGAACCTAATTAGCCAATGTCATGACTGGCTATGATTAATCATGCTGGAATACTTAATCCCCAGTGCAGTGTTCCTCAATGCTGTTAACTCTAAGAATTGATATTTTTGTCTCCTCATATTGTTTACAGTTGGATAAAAATCCTGCACCTGCAGGTCACCATAGACTGGACAGTGAGTTCTGAACTGCACCTGATAATCACCTGCATGATGAATGAGGTAGAAGGGTAAGCAGTACTTTTGCAGGTGGGAAAAATGAGGCTCAGAGAGATCGATCGTCTTGGCCAGGGTCACACAGCTTGAAAGTGACAACATTGTAAGCTAATCTCTGTTAACAAGTAGGGAATCTCTAGAGGTGGCAGGCTGCCCTGTAGGAAGAAATTACAGCCACCAACAACTGGGGAATTCCCTCAAGTGGCAGGATGTCCCACTGGAAGAAATATAGCCACTGAGGGCAAGAATAGGCAGTGGGATAGACTGCTAGACAGGAGAGATCAAGGTAGATTGAGGGTGTAAGTAGAAGACAGGGAGAGTGGAGACTGGGTAGAGAATGTCTCTCTGAGTTGGAGGAGGGAAAATTGACCTTTTACGAACCTTTAAGATGTTTCTGCTGCTGGCCCTGGGATTCTACCCATATTTCTCAGTTAGCCTGGAAGAAATTATTGTAAGGTAGGAAATCTGGATGCTATCACAGCTGAGATGCTTGTACAGGGCTAGGTGAATGGGGGAAATTTCCCTTTCTTGTGCTTTGTATTCATCCCTGCAATGGGCATATTGGATAATTTTGTGTATCTCCTGCTGGTTTGGTCCATTTGGCATCAGCAAAAAGGAAACTTATTCTACCTTTTATTCCTAGAAAAATTGGAAGCAAGGAGTTGGAGTTATTTGCCTATCAATGATGATGTAGGAAAAGAACTTTGCATATCTAAAGTGCTATTAAAAGCACCAGCTAGAATAATTAGGTCCAGAATTGTGGTTGGGATCACTTCTGCTATCTTCTTTGTGATCACTGTAACAGAAAGGCAAATCAATTAGTCTAATGTGGAGCCAGGTGCACCAGCCCCAGGTGACCTGATTTAGAATTCCCATGCCTGAGGGTGTGGTTGGAGAATCTGCCCATCTACACTCTCCAAGGCTGATGTCTGGAGAAGAGGAGAAATCAAGGTTTCAACCTGGGTCTTCAGTGGCCAAGTCCAGCGCTCTTTTCTCTGTACTTCTAGGAATGAAATTGCGAGACTTTGCATTATTTCAGTGGGAATCAGGGAGAATGAAGCTGCTTGGTTAGAAACTCCATCTCTGATGGTTCTTTTTTGTGTTCATCCAATGAAGCAGATCCAGTGAGGGCATTCGCTACGTGCCCCTGATACTCCAATTCCTTCTTTTCAGCTGCCTACCTGCACTGCCTTTTCTCATACTTTACCTCAATTTACTTTTTTTAATTTCTAGGTACACATTTTCTATCATGATAACTCGGTACAAACAGGGGAGTCATCAAGTCGTGAGATTCCATTCCAGCGGTTGAAGTAATGCTGTTGCTAGCCCCTCTGTCTATATTTGTGGGTCCACCTTTTCCCTATCCCAACATATTTTGAGAGTTCCATCCCCAACCTGGTGCAGGGGGTGAGCATGACCTTCCATTGGATACAGACCACCTATCAAATGACCATACATCTTCATTAGGGAGCACACCAACCATTTATCACTGCCACAATCTACTTTTCCAACCTTATCACTATTGACTCCCCTTTATATAGCCCTATGCTTCAGACAAATCAGATGACTGAAAATTATTCAAACGTACATTGTGTCTTATCTCCTTCATACCTTTGTTCACATCATTCTCTCTGCTAGAAAAATATTTTTAGATTCTATCTGTTCCCCTACCACCCGTCTTTCAAGATTTGACTAAAATATCATCTCCTTTGACTAAGGAGATGCACACGTCTTCTCCTCCCCAACTCTCTGCCTTCTGCTCTTTGCCTATACATCATCATTGTGCCATAGCTCTTTCTACAGTACTCTGTAGCTTCCAGGGCCCAGGCACACTTCAGAGATGGTTTTCTTACTTTTGCTGGCTCAAATTATCCTATCCTGAAAACCCAGAAAAATGTCTCCACAAGTTTTGGTGTTGCTGTTCAATTGTTTTTCAATCATGTCTTACTCTTCGTGACCTGATTTGGGGTTTTCTTGGCAGAGATACTGCAGTTGATTGCTGTTTCCTTCTCCAGCTCATTTTACAGATGAGCAAAGTGAGGAAAACAGAGTTAAGTGACTTGTCCAGGGTCACACAGCTAATAGGTGTTTGAGACTATATTGGAACTCATGAAGATGAGTCTTTCTGACTTAAAGTTCGGTACTCTATCCACTGCACCAAATAGATACTTCTCCAGTATTTGGAAACTGACTCCTCACTTGTTGAGTACAGAGTTCACTGCATTATAAAAGTATTATTTAAAGGAGGAAAACAAAGTCTTGAATGAATAAACATTCCTATCCCAAATCTCTCAAAGTCCTCAGAGATCTAAATATGACAGGCTCCTGTTAAGTGTGGTTTTTGCCTTTGACTCTCTGTTGTACAAAATGTTCAAACTCTCCTCTCCTCCCTCCCCTCCCCTCCTCTCCTCTCTCCTCCCCTACCCTCTTCTACTCTCCCCTTCTTTCCCCTCCTCACTCTCTCCTTTCCCTCTCACTTCTCCCCTCTCCTCCCCTCTCATTTTCCAACAATTGTCATTCTCCTTCCCCACCCATTTACCCCTCTACATACCTACTGGTTTCTATAATTCTCCTAAATGAAGGATTCTAAACCATTTTTATATCAAGAACCCCTTTGTCAGTGTGATGAAATCTATGGACTCCTCTGAATAATGTTTTTAAATGCAAGATACTTAGGATTACAAAGGAAACCAATTACATTGAAATAGTAGTTATCAAACTATTTAAAAAATTTTTTTTTTAAAGAGGGATTCCCTTGGGGGCAGCTTGGTGGTGCAGTGGATAGAGCACCAGTCCTTGAGTCAGGAGAATCTGAATTCAAATCTGGCTTCAGACACATAAGACTTACTAGCTGTGTGACTCTGGGCAAGTCACTTAACCCCAATTGCCTCACCAAAAAAAAAAAAAAAAAAGGAGGGATTCCCTACAGATCAGAATTTTTTAGCCTTTTTTTGGTCATATACCTTTTTGGCAATTTTGAGAAACTTATGAACCAACCCATTCTTTCAACTCTGTTTATAAATACATAAAATAAAATTCATAGCATTACGAAGGAAACAAATTCTATTGAACTATAGTTGTCATAATATTGAAAAAAGAAAAAGGTAAGAACCGCTATTCTAAATCAGGCCTCTACTATCTTATAAGTCTCAGGAAGAAAAGTAAACTTCACCTTGGGGTGGGAAGGGAGAGGAGAAAGGAAAATCTCAATCAGGCTATAGATAGGTCTGGGGCAGTTCACATCTTCATTCCATCCTGTGATTTTGGTTCTTTCCCTGAATTACAGACTTTGTTTACAGGTGCAAACACAATGCTAATTTCATTCTCCTCTTACCTAGGGCTGTCCTTCCCTTCAACCCCTGACAATTATGGAGAGAGAAAGCTCAGTATGAGGAACAATTCTGTAAGTCAAATACAATTGTTTTTCCTCATACAGCTATTGGAATATTTTGCGCCATAAAAAAAGCCAGCCAAATCACTCCCCAACCTGCTTCCCATTTCTTACCTCCATAAGACAGCATCAC